TATACAACAAATGAGTAATTCATTCAGTTCCGTTGCTCATTTATCCGGTCGGGTCATGCAGGCAGCAGTGTAACACAGAGTTCGAAGGTTCTGAATTTCAGCACTAACGTCTGAAGTTTGGCAGAATTTAACCTGAATCTAAAGCAAAGTGCAGCGAGGCAATTGTCCCATGTAACTTTTAGCGGTTCCCAGGCTCTTTGGCGAGTTGCTGCTATTTTTCCTTCCTTTCAAGCTTCATTCGCAAAATGGGTCCAAATCATCGCATCTCTCTTTCAATCTGGCAAGGCAGCGGCAGCGGCAGCGACCAACCCCTTCTCAGATATTTTAAGTTCGAATTCTATGGAAATGCGTGGCATAAGGATTGTCTAAGGAAGCCAATTTCAGCCACATGTATTCGGAATCGATGTCGTTCAGTCACGGCACACGACCAGCATGCGACTTGATTTGAAAGAGGACAGTTTTTTCTTTTTCAGATTTCTAGTGGCGTGTTGGCACAGTGTCTAAGAGGTCTGCTTCGAACAACGGAGAAGGTGGATTCGATTCAACTCAAGGGTAATCGCTGTCTTATTCATGGATTCCCTTGAGCAAAGAATTTGTCACATTTTGCTTCAGATCGGGGTTGCTAAGTCGGTATGGCGTCGAACTCAGAATCGATAAGTTCTGAGTTCAAGCCACAGTGGGGATCACTCTCATTTCTTTCTTCCAAGGTTGATAAATGACTACCACATGTGGGAAGAAAACAGGAGACTACACACTGCGCCTGTTACATGTCCATAGGCCAAGTCTTTAAAAATAAGAAACTCTTTGCTAATGGCATAAAAACGGAAATCAGCACCGTCCATCAACTTCATGAGGAAACGCGCCAAAATGGTAACACTATGAACGTGAAGAAAGTGATTCCAACAGTGATAAACTTTTGTTTTCTATTTCTTCAGACTCAGCACTGGTACAGTCACAGTTATTTCGCACATCTCATACCTGAACGCCGCTGGTCTTCACAATTTCCCGGGCATTATTATCCTCCTATCATCCATCATCAATAATAAACACTACTCAAAGGTAATTAACTTATTCGCATGTTCAACCGTTCCCCTGTTTATCTGCAAACCGCAACGGGCAAGACATCGAGAAAGCGTTAGGCTTTTGGTCTTAGACACGTTCGCACGCATACCGGTCAGGCCACTCACAGCTGCGAAGTTTAGATCCTGTTGTAACCTCAATTTCAGAAGATGCATACAAAGCAAGATCGCATGCAAACGGGAAAGTTCTCTATCAACATCTCTTATTCTGATACTTCGATACCTAGTTGTGCCTGACTATCTTATTAATGAACTACACAAACAGGATAGGAGAGAAGACGCAACCACCGCGATGAACATAGTAATTATCATCGTGAACGCCATAATCGTTATAAGGACTATTAGCTTATGATAAAACATAATTTTAGGGGTAAACGTCGCCATGAGAAGTATACGGTTTATATACCACTTTACTGTTATCCTTTTCCTAAAACTAGCCCCCAGGGTGCCTTGAAAAGGTTCGCAGTTGAGCATAACGTGGGTGGCTGACACGCGTCTATACGTGTCTAAAACCAAAGTATTATGGTTTCTTGGCCGCGTACCCGCTGTGCTCTCTAGACAATTAAAGAACCTGTAGGACGTGTAGAAAAGCCCACGTATTCTGCATACTGGTGACGAAAAATGGAATGAACAATACTGAATATTGAATCCAAACGGCCTGGAGCATTCCCTGGATTCCCTTGAGGTCATGTATAAAGTACAACTGAGTCTGAACACGAAGCCGTCTGTGTTTAATTTCAATTTTATGAACATACGTCCAGAAGAGGAGACGAGGAAGGTACTACTTGTTCAGTCGACAGGCCGAAGACCACGTAAAAGGCCAGGAATAACGTTCGGCAATTTTCTCAATGTCTGCAACAGACTTGAGTTTCCCTCTGACGAAGCTGAGGCGCCGGCGCAGGATAATAAAGATTGAAGACAGTGCTACCTCAGCGAAGGAACAATTAACGGACATCGAAACTCACTAACTGACCGATATTAGATAAAAAATTAGATCAGCAACTCAGTCATTTAGATAAAGCCACGGTTGATAAAATCAAAATACAATTCCCGTGCCAAGTTTCAACCGAACAAGGAAGTAGTAAATAAGAATATTAGGAATAATCTTATAGTATACCGGGTGAACATGGCAAAATCCGATCTTGAATATTTGAAATGATGCAACAGATCTGCCTGAATTCAAAGAAAGTCTTGAAGAAATTAGACAAAAATTTATGACCAAGTTAATACAAATCTTTACGAATGATGGATGAAGCCGTATTATACTGTCTACCCGCTGACGAGGAAATGTCTCTAAACCAAAGAAAAGACCACTAAATGATTGATTTGACGGCTACCAGCACATCATTTACAGAAATTCAGCTTTAGTCGACTACTCTCTTTTCAGCACTTTCACTCTGCGCTGCAATTTACATGTAGCGCAGAACTGTAACCGTAGAGCTACCCATTTCTGATGAAATTCTTTAGTATTTTGGGGACCATTCTGAAGTTCGGCTAAATTCTCCAAAACAAACTAATAACAGGAATGACATCTTTAAGGGATCAATATCACACTGAAACCTTTAAAACAGCATCGTCGTTTTCTTCTTGTTCAATTTCGCAATGTCGCAGTTTAGACTTCAACGGCAAATCATTCGTTTCTTGAAACAAGTGACTTTCTTCCAAATCCTAAAATATTTTCCGCACGGCATGAAGGTAACAAGCAATTCAAAGTAACCTGAGAAATGCGAATATATTCTTCCTCCCATTTGAACATTTCCTCTTCCAATTTGTCTTTCATTTTCGAAAGCGACTCCTTCTAAACGGACGCCTCAAATCGATTCCCACGTAATAGCTGATCTGATTATTCTCACCTCAATTTCAAGCTCATTGATTCGACGGTTGGCTTTTGTTTCACGACGTTTGATCGCTTGCATGTCTTCATTCCATTTCAAGAGAAGTTCTGCTTCTTTTTCGTTATGAAGCGCGTCAATCAATTCATGGAATTGCATCTTCTGCACGTCCAGTAGTTCAGTTTTCTCCATTAGTTCCCTTTCTCTCTTTGCTACCTTAAATCTTAGAATATGGACGATGATTACCATTTCAAAAGAAAGTAAACCTCTGCGCATTTGAAAAATAGAGTCCGTTCTTCCTCTTCGAAGCGGTGTAACCTTTCATAAAATTGTTCTAAATTTTTCAAGGGCACTGTTCCACTATACTGCTTTCTCAGTTCCTAAAATAACGCAGAAAACCATACAGAAGACAACGGATATGATAGAGCGCATATAACTTTATGAAGTTAATAAATATGAAATATTAAAAGAGAGAAATAAAAAGTAAACATATTTACTGGTTAATTACTAAGGTAAAAGCGGGTTTTAGACAACAGGAATATTATAGAACAGATGAAAGAAATTTTTTATCCGCCATCATGTTGCAACAATTTCCCATCTTAAGCTTTTAAAGACGAGATAGCTTGGCCGTGGATTCGAACGGATGGGTAGACGCTGGTCGTTCACTGATATGGATGACGATGTATACGACCTGCGTTGAATCAAAATCGAAAAGAAATCATTCCCTCCCATCGCGGCAGTAAAATGACTCATCAGTCAAATACTACGGTCAATGCAACTGTATTGCCTACTCAGTGTTCGGC